TTCCCACCTTCTCCTGTTCCCACCTTCTCCTGTTCCCACCTTCTCCTGTTCCCACCTTCTCCTGTTCCCACCTTCTCCTGTTCCCACCTTCTCCTGGTGGCTTCTTTTCCTCTCTTTTTTAGGCCACATTTTCACTTGGTAAACCTTCTAGTTTTGTGCTGGTGAGCCTGGCTATTTTTACTGAAAGAAATGTTTATTCTAAGCACACCCACCATTCATTCAAGGCTTTTTTTTTTTTTTTTTAACCTTTGGCACCTTATCAGAATTTCCCCCAGCTCACACAATAGTCCTGAAATTCTTAAAAGATCTAATTTCATGACTGAGGGATCACATTCATTCAACACTGAAGGACTACACTGGGTTTTTTTTGTTTGTTTGTTTTCCATGTTATTTCCTTATGATATAAAATGAGAGCACTGAATTTCACCACTAGGCCACTGAGGAGCATCTACCACATGAAATCAAATGATTAAGACTCTTCATAGCAGATTAGCCCTGATTCAGTTGGATGTTCTGATTGGCAAGGATATACATTTCTTTCTTTTTTTTTTTTTTTTTTTGGTTTTTCGAGACAGAGTTTCTCTGTGTAGCTTTGCGCCTTTCCTGGAACTCACTTGGTAGCCCAGGCTGGCCTCAAACTCATAGAGATCTGCCTGCCTCTGCCTCCCGAGTCCTGGGATTAAAGGCGTGTGCCACCACCGCCCAGCCAAGGATATACATTTCAAAATGATGCACTAAAGTCCACATAGATGTGAAGAGAAAATTCCCTAAGTAATTTTTTGTGTATAGAAAAGGTCATGCAAGCCAGGTTTTGGTTTAGAGATTCTATTGCTGTGAAGAGACACTATGACCATAGCAACTCATAAGGAAAACATTCAATTGGGGGCTGGCTTACAGTTCAGAGGGTTCGTCCATTATCATGGTAGGAAGCATGGTGGCAGTCAAGCAGATGTGGTGCTGGAGAGGGGCTGAGAGTTCTACATCTGGGTCTTCAGGCAGGAGGAAGGAGAAGTGAGCTTCTAAAACCTCACAACCCAGCCCCCAGTGACACGCTTCCTCCAACAAGGCCACATCTCCTAACAGCGCTGCTCCCTATGGGCCTATGGGGCCGTTTTGCTCAAATCACCACAGCCACATACCAAAATTCTGTCTCAAAGTTAATAAAATGTCATGTAAGCATTAAACTCACCAATACACTTTTAAAACACAATTTGTGGGGATTGTAGTTTTCAAATTAAATGTTTTGCTAGTATTTTGGTCCATTTTATGAGGAGGATGTATTAAAATGGATAACATTTGTTTCAGCAAGTTGTAGACAGTTATGTGGAAAGCTTTCCAATTTAGTTTCCTATGCTTTTGGTATGTGTATGTGTGTATGTGTGTGTGTGAGAGAGAGAAAGAGAGACAGAGAGAGACAGAGAGAGACAGAGAGAATGTGGGAACAAGTGCCGTGATTGCATGTTGAGATCAGAGAACAACTTTATGGTGTCTTCTTCTACCTTTTGTAGGTCCTAGGGATGTAACTCGGGTAGTCAAGCGTGCATCATGAGGTCACATGAAGCTTTATCCAGCTAAGTAACCCACTAACCCTAATTTCCTGTGCTTTTATGAGTCTGTTAAATGCTTTACATAGACATGTTAAAAGTACCACAGAGTTCCTGGGGCGACCACAGTGTGATTGCATTTCCTTCAGTGTGGAAATAACAATTAGCAATTTCTAGGGCATTCATCTCTAGGTTGTTGGAGAGACATTAGGAATAATCTAGATTGTCAAAGTATAGTCTTAATTCAGAGCTAGAATTGAAGTTCACCTTTTCTGCACCAGAGATGCCATGTCCCAAAGCCAGAAGGATAACTTAAGTTCTGTTTATTTTTGTCTTATCCCTTAGCAGGTGCCCTTAGACTGAATTTCAACTTCAGGGGTTTTTGTTTTGTTTTGTTTCAGTTTGTTTGTTTGTTTGTTTTTAAGGGCTAGTACAATTAATATGCTGAATATTTACTGGTAAAACATTAGTGAACACAAACAAACTTTTAATTCAATACGGCATTTCTGTGAGGAAGAAGTTCCTAGACATTAAGAATAGGTGGAATGTAGCCTATGAATAGATTCAGATCCGTTTTTGCCACCAGGTGAGTTTTTGACTACTTTTTTGTTTGGGGGTTGGGAATTTCAGAATTGTGGATGGAGTTACAGGCCTGTTCCTCCGCAGCTTGAGGAATGCAAGAGCTTTAGTGTCGGTGCCTTATTGCATTCAGACGGCACAACCAGACGCTGGCTGCTCAAAACCCACCTGAGGCATGTTCAGAGAGGCAAAGTAGTCACACTCCTCTGAAATAACACACTCTGACTGACCTAACAAATGCTCGTGCGAAGTTTGATCCACAGCAGTTCAGTAGGGGAAATGTGGTGTGGACTGACCACAAGCTCTCTAGGAGCCAAGGGGAAGTGCAGGCCAGGTGCCAACGGAGCTCAAAGGGCCGCATATGGAGACATGCCTTCCGCCGCCACCTCGAGGCAGGTGAGGAAGAGTATCGGTTCTGTGCCGAATGCACGATGGCAGGTCCTTAGATCGGAACTGCCCAGAATGGAGCTGATATGGGTAACCGGATTTTCCTGAAGGGACAGGAGTCACATTGGGAGTCTGCATCTGTTGATTGCATGAGAGAGAACAATGAAAACTCTTAAACTGTTTGCCCCATTGTCCTGAATATTTTATGTTAAAAAGATATTTAAGTGATCACCCCAGTCTCTTCATGCCAGCGTACTTCACACTGTAACTGTGGCTCTCTTTGGGCCGATGGCAGCCACTCGGACTGTGTCAGCAGACACTTCCCTGTGGAAGAAACCAGGGGATATATGAGGGACAGGAACATTTAGCCTTAAGTTGCCTGCTTAGTGGTGACAAGCACAGCAATGGCAGATAAAACAAAAACAGGCAGAAAGTGTGAGGTCATTCTAAGGGGAGTGAGGCACTGAGAACCGGCTTCCCTGAAACAGGGCACAGCCAAAAAGGAGGCTTCAAAGAGAAGCTGGGGCCTGGAAGGGGCACAGCGCGGGACGGGCTCCTGCCTTCCAGATACGCATGCGCAGAACTACCCGCAGCTTCTTCACAATAGTGCACCTCTCTGAGACCCATGCATGGCAAGTGCTTAGAAGCCCAGAAACCTGGATCAGCAGGCCATGTCTCAGAGAAAAGGATGTCCAGGTTAGGCGTGGGCCCTCCTCAGACCACGGGTGACAGCACTACTGATGTAGGAAGCTCCCACAGTCTGCAGCGTGCACGGGAACCATGACGCCAGGCAGAGTGAAGGAAAATCTGAGCGAAGGTCTTTAGTGGGGTGTCTGTAGGAAGTCAAGACGGGGGGAAAGGCTATGCACTGACTGCTGTGTATCTCTGCTGCCAGTTCTGAGAGCTGGGAACTATTCCTACCTGTCTAGTACTTAGCTCTGGGTGGTTAGGACAGGGGGAAACTGGCATAAACTCCAGATTAGTTGGTTTGCATATCAAAAATGAGCTAGAGTTGAGGATACTTGTGGGTTTTTCTGAAGACTGAAGCCCTGGGAGGGATATTTCCTCTAGGGCCACAATGAACCAGATGTCAGAGCTTTGGCAACAGAAAATTAAATGCATGCCGATGCACAGAGTCAAAGGCAGCGGGAAGTTAGAGGGGGTACAAGCAGGCAGAGCAAAGTTCGCACACTCCAAAGAAGAGCCAACATTTCTAGAGGGTAGGATTATACTGTCCTGGTTCACATACCATACCCGGGGGAGGAGCACTTAATGGGGAAAGAGAAGCCTTCCTGATAAGACTGTAGGGAAGGCAGTGACGAGGCCAAGACGCTGAGGTGAGGCGAAGGCCACTGATGGCGTTGTCTGGGCTGCGATGGTCACAGAAGATGGGAACCTGACAACATGCAGAGGCTGTGGAGCAGATGGGGTAACTGTGAAGGAGACAGGCAAGCAGACATCTGCACTGGCCTGTCCACTGGCTCACCAGAAGGCAAGCTCACCTGGGGCTCCAGCAGGCACCTGTGTCCTGGCCTTCTCCAGTTGCTCTCAGACAACAGCAGATGTGCCATACACCACCAAACTCTGGACGTGTGCTCTGGCCACCTCCAAATCAGGGCTTGGCTCTGCTTTCTGAATGCTTTAGATGTAAGGATGTGAATTAGCATACAGGAGTCCTGCTAGGCTCAGTTGTCTAAGCTGCAAAGGTTGCCATTACAGACTTGGGTGACTTAAAGGAAATGGTTCTCACCTCCAGGAGGCCAGAAGCCATTATCAAGTTGTGGAGAGAGCGGCTTCCTCCTAAGGCCTCGGTTCGACTGGCACCTGTATTGATCCTGCCTTCGAGTGTTCTTCCCTCTGACAGACACATCTGTGTCCAAACTCCCTCTTCTTATATGGACATCAACCTTACTGGTTTAGAGGACACGCCGTAACCTCATTTTAACTTATCTCTCTAAAATCCTTATCTCCAAATACAGTCACACTGTGAGGTTTGGGGGTAAAAACTTCAATAAATAAATGTGGAGCTGTGATTCAACCTGTAATACTCTACTGAGAAACAGAGAATGAGCCAACATTGACCTAATGAATGAAACCACACTGACAGTATGGAACAGTTTGGACAGTCTCCTGTGGTCACCCTAATAAGGCAGGGCATATGCTAAAGCTGGCTGTTTTGCAGCCAGCACAGAGTTGGACACAGCACATAGGGGCTGGGCCTAGATTAACCTGCCCACAGCCTTATTGACCTCTGTTAGCCTTTGAACATTTCTGAGCTTGAATTTATTCATAACCTCCCTGTGGTGGGTTTGAATGAAATGGCCCCCATAGGCTCATAGAGAGTGGCATTATTTGAAAGGATTAGGACATAGGCCTTGTTTGAGGAAGTGTGTCACCGGGGTTGAGCTTTGAGGTTTCAGAAGGTCTCTTCCTGCTGCCTGCCAAGATGTAGAACTCCCAACAACCTGTCCAGCACCATGGTGTTGTGCCCATTGTCACGAATCCTCCAGAGACCACCAAGGAGCCAGTTTCCGATGCAAGCACACAAGAGTCTTTATTTTCAGGTTCAAACCTGGACCGCCACCCTCTGCTCTGATGCAGCAGATGGAGGGAAATTCAGCAGTGGCAGCGGGTTCAGGGGTAGGAGAGTTTTTAAAGGGAAAAACCATCAGCTAGGAATTACATGCCTTGGCGTTTTGGGATTGGGTGAAGGGATATGGTGATAGGAATTCCAACCACGCCCCCATGGTCATGCATGCCTGGCAGGACAGTCATTTCCACCTAGTCATTTCCAGGTCATACGTCCTAAGTAACCCATGCCCCATGGCTGTGTGGTCACATAATCACAAGGCATGACCACGTGATCTATGCACATGCGTGGAGTAGCCACGTGGGCCCATGTGCACAGGTGTGAGCTGGCCCTTAAAAAGGCAGTCCCCCATGTCGTCCCCCCTTCTCACACATGTCCTTCTGCAGGCCTGATCACATCTATCCCTTTCTCCTTGTCTTAATAAAACTCTTGTTAGTGGATATTCTGTCCTGTTTGTCACTTTTCCTCACAGGTAAGAATGCTGATAACCATCATATGGGGCATGGTATTTCCACACAAAACCACATTTTATTGGACCCCAAAATCTAGGGTCTCAAGTGGGCACCCCAAGAACCCAGACTCCAGACCAGTTGATGCAACAGCACAAGGTTTTTATTGAAGCGTCTGTACAGACGGGCAAACTCTGCTCCTAAGAGCAAGAGCCGCATCTTACTGCAGCCACATGGGGGTTTTTAAAGGAAAAACCCACAAAAGCCATAAGATTACAATTCCCATACAATTTGATTTCACAAGATCATGGTCTGATCACAGAGTGGGTACAGTCACGTCTGCATGTATATTCTTCCTGAAACCTCAAGAGGGAAATCAGGGCGGGGAGTGGAGTTTACACAAAGGTCACAGTGGTCCTTCCTGGAACACCTGCAACTATCCCAGTCACAGTTGAGCACATCTCTTAACAGAAATCTTTTTACATTGTTACATTGTGGCAAGGGTGGTTGAACAATGGCTGAGTCAGCTTGCCCTTGGAACTAGATTTTTAGTTTCTCATTTCCTGGGGCTTGGGGGTGTAAGCCTGAAGGGTTAGGGTCTTTCAATTTGAAACTAATTGGCTGCTTCTAGGGTATCAGTTCGAGTTTTGTTGTCCCGGCACGTTTCTGAGATTCTTCCTGGAACTGAGTACAACCTTCCATCACCAGGTGATCTAAGCCAGTGTCCCTTCCCTAAGATGGAGTCTGTAAAGTCAAGTCTAGGCCTTCATATTGCCTTCACAATGTCTACTCAAGCACCACCATGCTTCCCACCATGATGATAACGGATTAAACCTTTGAATGTAAGCAGGCCCTAATTAAATGCTTTCCTTTGTAAGGGTTACCATGGTCATCGTGTCTCTTCACAGCAATAGAACACTGACTAAAACACTGCCCTACTGAATTTTGGAGTTATTGTTTGCCAACTGGGGGAATTTATTGGAAATACAACCCAGTCTACAAATGAGCTGTGCTGGTCACAGTAAGTAGGAAAGACTGTCATCCAAATCACTGTGCTTGACCCCCCAGCTCCTCAGGCAGTGAGTCAGCATCAGAACTGTTTTCTGGCAGAGGACAACCAGGCTCATCTTGATTCTCATGATGTAAAAATATATTATACACCCATGCTTTTAGCCACATGCATATGCACATACACACACGGCTAACAATCCCGACAGGAAAGACCCTTTCCATTGTTATTCTAAGAGACATGTAGGCATGCCAAGGTTAGGTTCTGGTCAACATAAAATTATTTTAGAAGACAGAATTCTTTTTGTTGCTGCTCCTGCTTCTTGGAGACAGCACTCTTCCCTGATACTTGTTGCTATAACCCTCAAAGATTTGTCTGGCTTTGTTTTTGTTTATTTATGCAGTGCTGAGATGGAATCCAGGTCTTATCTGGGCTAGATCCATTCTTGGCCACTGAGCCACACCTGAAGCCCAAGATTGTCTTATTCTGTTGCTGACGCTGTTATTTAAATCATTTCTTTCTCCTAAAGAAACCAGAACTTGAGAACCAAGAACAGGAGTGTATTTATTCTCAACTATGAAAAATAAATAACAGTGAAAGACTGGAATCTCATTCATTCATTTGCTAAATCAGTGATGCTTACTGACCATCTGCTGGAGAGCAAGCAACATATCGGGTGGGTAGTTGGGATATCTGAAACATGATGATTACTTGGGTGGGCATAAACCTCACCATCCTGGACACACACCCTTAGACCTGCACTGATGTACAGCATCTTTCTGAACAATGATGGAGAGCTAACTATGTGTGAACATCAGTGGCAAGGAGACAGAGACACAGCTCCATGCTGCCACCCTCACAACCTTTAGTGTTTGTTCTTTCCCTCTAAATAGAATTTCTAGAGACATTCATAGACAATTGCAGGTTTGCAGCTGCAGTGAGAGAAGAGCCATGAGCAGCTGTTAATTGTGCTGCTTCTCTGATGGTGAGAAGAGTCAGCCTCATTCCTGGGCTAGGACTCTCTCTCTCTCTCTCTCTCTCTCTCTCTCTCTCTCTCTCTCTCTCTCTCTCTCTCTCTCCCCTCTTATACTGCCCAAAATTTCCCTGTCTTTCTTTCTCAGTAGAAATAAAGACAAAATATGAAAAATTCAATAAAACTTAAAATCCAATAAAACTCTTAATTTCAGAGAGCTGGATGGCAAAAACCGGTTTTCCTTATTAATCAATAATGTAACAAAGCATCCCTTTGGAAAATGAATTCACATATAGATAAAATTCTAGAACAAGTGCAAGGGAACAAAATTGAAGACCATCTTTCTGGACCCCAGTGTGAGGCTGAGGAAAAGATCTAATATCTTCTAACAGAGAATTTGGAGTGATGAGTTCTTCCTCAGCTAACATTCAGCTGTGTACAGAGGCTTACAGTAGAAATGTAAAAAAAATCCCACAAAGCACGAGGCAGTGGTGGCACACGCCTTTAATCCCAGCACTCAGGAGGCAGAGGATCTCTGTGAGTTCAAGGCCAGCCTGGTATCTACAGAGAGAGTTCCAGTACAGCCAGAGAGAAACCTTGTCGCAAAAACAAATGAACACTCACTCCTCTCCCGCCAAAAAAACCACAAAACATCTGCAAAAATAAGGATTGGACATGTCGTCTTCCTGGAAGGAAAATACTTCTAAAGCTTGAAAAGAGCTTGGACTCCATTCTTGCTCCTGTCAGATGTAAGCATTTTCTGGTATGTTCCAGCATCAATGTTAACTGAACCTGTTGGGTAGAAGAGTATGGTACAATTAAGCTGATGTCTGAGGGAAGAAGAGGAGGCCAGAGAAAAGTGGCTGTCACTCCCTCCACTCAGCAAGCTCATCTGAGTGGGGACTAGGCTGCCCTTAACTAACCCATATTCTGGGTATCCAGGCTCTGAGTTAGATATTGTTTCTGGAAAAAAATTTACTTTTGATGAGCCAACTGGTTTTGTTTACATTCTCAGCCAAGGCTCCTTTGCTGTTTGTATAATCTGGATGATAGCCTGGTCTTTCCTTCTGTGGATTAGCCTCATGCCATTTGCTCAGTTTTTTAAAATCCAATTATGTATCAAGAGCTTTAAAATGCTAATATTATTATTGGACCCAGTGAAACCTTCAGAAATCTTAAATATGCAAAACTGCTTAAATAACTTTTAGGCTCAAATGGTCCCCTTACATTACTATTCAAAGGTACTCTGACTGTAAGCTATAGCTCAGTGGTAGAGTTCCTGTGCCGTATGCATGAGGCTCTAAGTTCAATCACCAGACAAACAGCATGTGTGTATTCACCCCCCACACACCTGCAAATGACTAATTTGTGACAACACTATGTATTCAAAGCCCGCTGTGCATCCAGAAATATGCGATGCATATAAAACACAGATCAGCTTAGTATATTATAAATAAAAGGATAATGGAATCATGTAAAACATTCCAAATTATATATGTAAGGAAGTGGAACAAATGTCCACGATCCATTCTTAAAAAGCAATAAAAATACCCAATTATTTACAAAGAATGACTAGAGTCATTTTAAAAGGACAGCTGAAAATATGCAAAATAATAAAAGTGCAAAAAGAAAAGGAGAAAATCAAAATACTTAAAAAGAACACATAAAGTCATGGCAAAGACTGACCAACCGCCCACCTGTCCTGCATTCATGAATCTTTCCGTTTGTTGTTGTTGTTGTTGTTGTTTTGGAAACAGGGTTTCTCTGTGTAGCCCTGGCTGTCCTAGAACTCTCTATGTAGCCCAAGCTAACCTCGAATTCAGAGATCCATCTGCCTCTGACTCTTGAGTGCTGGGATTAAAGGTGTTCACTACCACTGCCTCTCCTGTTTTCATGTTTAGATATTAACTTAAAGACAGGAAGAAGAAAATGCTTAGATCACAGTGGTGCCAAATCCTATTAGAAGACTAAGAAAAAAATCTGCATATTAGAAAGTGAACAAGTTGCTGAACTCCGGCAGTGACTGGAGTATGCCCAAGAAATGCAGAAGCCAAGTGAGAGAGCCTAAGACCCAAGGGGGGACAATACAAGGAACAGAAAAACATAGTGCTGGATCATAACCCAGGGTGTAGAATAAATACCCATAAGTCCACAGTGGTATGCATAAATGATTCATTAAATAAACAGAACACACAGTTTTCTCACGGCAAAGAATTTCAAATAATTTCCACAGGTAGAAGTGAAACACAGGCCCCCACAAGTGCTCACTTCGTGCTTCCTTCTAAAGAAACATGAAAACAGGAAGAACAGCAGCTTTACCCTGGGGAAGCTTGACAGAGCTTTCCTCAGTCAAGTTTAAGGTGCAGCATCAGTGGTGAGCAGCCAGTTGGATAGTGTTTGATCTTCACGCTATACACCGGTAACCTCATGTCCATCATTGGAAAAGATCCAATTCTTAAGGAGGGTGACTGGCCCGCCCAAGAATGCACAGAACCTCCAGGTTTACTCAAAACCAAGAACATCTCTTGTGGGCCACAAGAATATATTACAGAACTGTGTATTAAAGCTATACTTTGACCAGCCAAGGGTCTGTCAAAGGCAAGCCATTTATTATGAATATTTGGTGCTATCCAGCCTTTAATATTTCAGCTGTCTTCTGCTATGAAATTCTTGCGTGCCCAAATATTTCCAAACCTATAGAACTTCTAGGTTACTTACTCTCCCCCACCTCTACTGAGCCTAGGAGACAAGCTGGCTGGAGATGCATAGCTTTGCTTCTTGTGCAAATGAAGCTCAGACCATCTCCTTGTTTTGAGGCCTAGTGGCTTTCCAGAGCAAATGACTGAGAACAAAAGAGATTTTTACATATCAAGGTGGAAGGTAGGGTGGAGGAACATTCCTTAGGAGGTAGAGAACCACGTGCCTAGGGAGAGGAGGACAGGCATTTTCTGTAGAAATGAACAGAACGACACGACGAGAGAAAAGAGAGGAAGACAGAGGTTCCATAGAGGGTAAGCAGATCTCGGGTAGAGTTTTCTGAGTGCGAGGAGTAGAGAGTAGTGGAAATGGAGAATGAGGAAATGGAGGACAAAGATGAGGCTGGAAGCATAGGAGTTTAGTCCTTAGCAGGACTATGAGCTAGGGAACTGGACAGAATTGAGGCTATGTAGACAGGATTTCATCCCAGAGAAATAAAGTAGACAGATAAAGAGCTTGGTGTGTCTATATTTATCCTCATCCTGAATACCTGATGGGGCTGTGGCTGTATAGATAGAATTTTGATTTAGAGGAATAAAGTTACAGACATAAGAACATAGTGTATGTAGAATTTTTTTCCCTCAGATATCCCATGCTGGATGTAGCAAAATCCCCAGACCCTGGGAAATCAATAAACATCGAGGAACTAACCTCCACTAGCAAGAGGAGGCAAGGGACATGAGAACAACAGACAGAGTATGGTATTCTGGATGGGATTCCAAGACATGAAAGGGCTTGAGAAACAAGTTAAGCAAATCTAAGTAAGTGTGGACTTGAAAAAAATAATAATGTTCTTGTATTAGTCTGGGTTCTCTAGAGGAACATAACTTATAGAATGAATCTATAGATAGATAGGTAGATAGGTAAATAGAAAATAGATAGATAGATAGATAGATAGATAGATAGATAGATAGATAGATAGATAGATAGATAGATAATTTATTACAGTGACTTACAGGCCATGGTCCAGCTAGTCCAACAGTGGCTATCTACCAATAGAAAGTCCAGTAATTGTTCAGTTCATGAGGCTGGATGTCTCAGCTGGTCTTCAGTAGATGCTGGAATCCTGAAGAAGTCGGCTCTACTGCCAGTGAAGGAATGGACCTGCCAGCCAGAGGGAGGGCAAATAGGCAAAGAGCAAAAGATTCCTTCTTCCATATCCTTTATCTAGGCTGCCAGCAGAAGGTGCAGCCCAGAATAAAGGTGGATCTTCCTACTTCAAACGATCTGGATTAAAAGTGGGTCTTCCCATTTCTATAACTAGTCTTTCTCTGTTCCGTCTGCCATTTCTCCTCCCCCTCCCTCTCCCCCCCCAAAAAAAATGACACAGACACTTATTATTAACTATGAAAGCCCAGCCTATAGCTTAAGATTGTCCCACTAGCTCTTTTTTTTTTTTTTTTTTTT